TAAATTTGATTTTGTATAAACAAAAGTTCGCAAGTACATAAACACGTATGTTCAAATACTCTCCCATATACATACATAAAAACAAACAAGCTAAAATACGTATATAAAAAAATTCACCCAAACAAAAACAAACATACATAAATACTAAAACAAAAATACAAATACAAACATACAAACATAGCCAGAATGAAGCATCATCAGCAACAATGTTTTAATACATGAAAGTACACGCGGTACATGGCCAGTAGCTATTAATGTTCATCAGCAGATGTTTTCTTCGTCAAACGTGTCATCTCGTTCGTTCGTTCGTTTGTCTGTTCATTCATTCGTTCGTCTGTTTGTTTGTGTGTTCGTTTGTTTATTCATTTGTTGGTTCATTTGTTAGTTTGTTTGTTCTTTTGTTTAATTTTTTTCTATTAACTTTCTGTTTTTTTTTATATATTTTTTTCTGATTTTCGTTTGTCGAATTAATGTTTATATCTCTATGTTTAAATGTTTTCTATTTCTCTCTCTTTCTCTATCTTTTCTTTCTCTCCCTTTTTCTTTCTCTCTTTTTTTCTTTTTCTCTCTTTTTCCTCTCTCACACACATCTAAACGCACATACATGCACTCACACACACATATATATATACACACATACACACACACGCAAATATTTATATTTGTTTATATCTAGCAAATAAAATCTTTGTTTTGTTAATTAAAAGTTTAACGCCTGGCTCATCATTTTAATTGTTGTCTTGTCGTCATCAGCATCGTCGTCGTCATCATCTGTACAATGTCGTTCATCATCATTGGTTTTATTGTAAAAACCATATTTTATCATCATCATTATCAAATTTTCATCATCATCATCGTCTTCATCATTGTCTTCATCATCATCACCTTCTTCTTCTTCATTTTCATCATCATCACAAATTCATTCAAATCTTCTTACTAGTTATCGTGTGCGCACAGCCCCTGAGGCAACGTAATAATATGTTATCAATTATTTATTTACTCGCACGCACAACAGCACATAAATAAAAAAACACGCACAGATAACCACAAACGAATACACACAAACACACACAAACACTACACAGACAAACACACATACACACGTAACAATAATCTTTATGCTGCATACATACACACATATAAAAACTTGTAAAAACATACAAGAATGTTCGCAAAATATATACAATTAATACAAACATTTTATTATACACTAATAAAAACATACATAACCATACAACATCACAAGCACACACATACATGAATATACATACACATATAAAAATCATACTTAATTTAACTCAAAACTTTATAAATGATAGCATAAATACATACACACACATATTTATAACATATGAGCACTTGAAAATTGACAAACACACACACACGCACAAACACACACTCACTTACACACACACAGGCACACACACAAACGCACTTACATACACACACACACACAAAATTACGTTGTACACACATACACAGTAAAACACAAGCGTTCACAATTATGATATGCAAAGTTAAACGCACACACACACCACACACATACAAACACGCACGCACACAAACAATAACATAAGGACTCACACAGAAAGACAAGAATACACTAAACAGAAAAGAAAACACATATTATCATACTCTTGTTGGCTCACGTCTTTGCGCTGTAAACTACAAAATTTATTAGCTATTAAAATCTATAAGTCAAAAAATGTCTCAAAATTTATTTTTATAAAATAATTTAATGACTTTACAACGTTAGAAAACTTCTCTCTTCTTTCCCTTTCTCTCTCTCTTTCTCTCTCTCTCTCTCTCTCTCCCTCTCTCTCTCTCTATGTATAAAATGTGTGTGTGTGTGTGTGTGTGTGTGTGTGTGTGCGTCTGTAATAAAGTTTAGTGAGCATCAACAATATAATAATGATTTGTTTACATATGTCTGTCTGCCTGCATGAATGTTTGCCTATGTTCGTCTGTCATGTTTGCCGTTATCCTTATTCCACTATCACCATATTGGTATTGTACTAAAGATTTATAAAGCAATCATAGCAATCAACGTTTTTCAATCTTTTTAAATCTCTCTCTCTCTCTCTCTCTCTCTCTCTCTCTCTCTCTCTCTCTCTCTCTCTCTCTCTCTTATTCTCCATTGTAATCCGTTCATCATATATTTTTTCTTTTATTTTTTTTTCTCACACAAAAAGTTGAAAATGTTTCGGTATATGTCAGGTATAAATCAGTTTTGTCGCATGGACGTGTGTGTGTTTGTGTATGTGTGTGTGTGTGTGTGACCGGTTAAATTATACGTCGTACATATTCACATTAATATAAAAATTTGTTATTTGGTTTGGTGTAGTCGTTTGTTCGCTCACATTCTGCTTAACGTTTGAAACAAATACACACATATGTGTAATGTAAGAATAGAAGCACTTTGGTTAGTCAGTTAGCCCAAACGGTCAAGTGCATGTTCTGGTCCTCTCTGTTGTTATAGCGTGGTAGTCTGGTTCGATTACTATCAATCCGAAACCCGAAAACTGTCAAGCCCAAAGGGCTTAGCAAGCAATGCTTGCATGTTAGTTCATACGATGTGTGTAAGTCGTGTGTGTGTGTATCGTATGGTGTAGTGTGCGTGTGTGTGTCGTGTCATGTCGTGTCGTGTGAATGTGCAACCTTTAAAGCACGAAATTTTAATTTTGAATTTTGAATGTGTATCTCAAAAATGCGTGTTTAGTATATAAATATAATGTACGCCATTGAAATACATGCCTCTGGATCATTGAAGTCTCCTACTGGTAGTGTTTGTAATGTTATATTGTTTTGTTAACAGTGTCAAATTAACAATAGTTCTCTCTATCTCTTTCTCTCTCTTTTTCTCTCTCTCTCTCTATAAATATATATATATATATATATTTGTGCGTGTGTGTGTGTGTGTGAGCGCATGCGTGCACGTGTGTTCTTTGTGTGTGTGTCTGTGTGTATGTGTGTGTGATTGTGTATGTATCATTAACGTTGGCAGTACTGGTAAACATGAACGTAGTCAAGGTGTTAACAGCAAAAGCAAGAACATGATGACATAACAAGAACCAATAAATAAATTAATTAATAATTATTATTTCTATAATTATTAATTCAATAAATTGTTTTAATAAGTTTAATCACAATTGAAATAATAATGACAATAGTAATAATAAGTAATAATAATAATAATAATAATAATAATAATAAAAATAATAATAATAAAAATAATAATAATAAAAATAATAACAATAATAATAATAACATAAAAGATAACGAAAATAGCGACAATATAAATAACAATATCGCAAGTCATTGATAGATGATAGGTGAATGCAATAAAAGATAGGGTCATGGCAAATAGTAATATACTACCCATATACACTACACACATAGACACGCACACACATATATATATATCTGTGTGTATGTGTGTGTGCGTGCCTGTTTGTGTGTGTCAGTAAGAGCAAGTGATACACAGTATACATCTTTTACAAAAGAGACATCATATTTATTTTATAAATTCTTCATGATAATATAACACATCTAAAAACTTATACATATTTGTACACACACACACACACGCGTATGCACACGAACGCACACACGCAAAAAACACACACACACACACAACCCACACAAAATGTTGAAAGCTGTTTGACGTGTTATGGAAGAATAAATAGTGTGCATACACACATACAGTAGAGCTAATAAGCAGATGTTGTGTTGATTGGACCGGCTTCAAATGCACGGCGCTTAATTGGCTAGTAGCACGGTTAAGGAACGTTTGGAGATAAATTAATTGTGACAGGGAGCTGAGAGATGAACAAGATGAAAGGAAAATAAAAGAATCAATAAATCATATAGATACAAAATTAAGAGAGAGTGAGAACAATATACAGAAAGAGAGAGAAAGAGAAAGAACAAGAAAAAGAGAGAGAGAGAGAGAAAGACAGAGAAATAAAGAGAGAGAGAGAGATAGAAAGAGAGAGAGACAAACAGATAGAAAGAAAAATTGGAAAAAAGACAGAGTGAGAAAATGAGAAGAGAGATTGAGAACAAGGCCGAGGGATTGAGAATGAGAAAGGAAGAGTAAAAGAAAGAAATTGTGGAGATGAGTTGTTACTCGTATGTTTGTAATTATCGTAGCACCGTCGGTGGATTCTGGGGAATATTTGGAAGCAGTTTGCATTCCGACATTCGGTGCTAGTTTAATTTTTCTTTCTTCTTTTTTACGTTTGCACGTTTATTACAATTGTAGTTTTAGATTCTGACGATACACAAGTATATTATTCGCAAACTTTTTTGTGTTTTATGAATTATATATATATATATATATATATATATATATATATATATTGTGTGAATTCTAATTTAAAGTTTGTCTTTCAATTTTCCTTATTAGAATTTTCTGGAAATCGTTCAATTTATTGAAAATAGAATTATCCAAGTTCATCATGAAAATTTAATGAAACTGTTTTTATCAATATTCAATTCTGTTTGTATTCTTTCTACCAAAAATATTTCAAAAGACGAAAACGTTTGTTTAATTTCATTAAAGAAATTGTCTAACAGCAGATGAATATAGCATGGGGGTTACTGTTTAGTCACGTTGCTTCCCGTCAACATAAATTTCAAATGCTTTAGTTCAATTCCTAAACAAAAATTTCATGTTTTTGATTTAACATATTCATACAAAAAATCAATCCATGTAAGCGGTTTGAATGCACAGGTATTCTTATTTTATTGGTTTCATTTCATTATTGAAATTTTTTTTTCTATTTTCAACCCTTAACATTTTTTTACAACACAATATCCAAAAAAGTATAAAAATATATTGATTCAAATTTTTTTATAAACAACAACAACAACAACTTTTACCACAACAACAACTATAATCACAAAACAAAAACAAACAGAGCCATTGGGAAAACTGCAGACATGACGGATCCTTCATCTTTCTCACAGCCATCATCATCCTCATCATTCCTAATCTCCTCATCAAACAATCCCCAACAAAACTTCAACTCCCAACACTACCAACAACCACATCCTCACCAACAACAACTTTTGACCTCATCGAAATATTGGAAGCACACATCATCCTGTAATCGCAGAAGGACCGTTGGACTGACCAGTGATCAGAAGGACATGTGCCAGAAAAACCTTGACCTCATGACCTCTGTCGTTCAAGCAGCCAAACAAACAATTGATGTCTGCCAAGAAATTTTTTTTGAAAAAAGATGGAATTGTTCTACTATACTGAATGCCCCCAAGTTTTTGCCCGATCTTACAGGAGGTTAACTTTAAAATGTGAAACGTTTAGGTGAATTAGTTATAAACTTTTAAATTTTACTCAAATGTCTAGTTTATCGCAAAATATCAATAATTAATGTGAACAACAATTGAAACAGCTGGAAATAATATTTTTATATTATCTTCTTCAACTAATTGTTTGTTGCCTTTGCCAATAAGTAGATCGAAAAAGCGAAAATTAAAATACTAAAAATTTCTCACATTTGTTATTCAAAAACGCAGGCAGTAGAGAACAAGCATTCGTGTACAGTTTAGCAGCAGGGAGTTTGGCTCAGACGATTGCGAAGGCCTGCAGTTCAGGTCTGACATCGAAGTGTGGGTGCGCACAGATCCCGACAGAACCAGCCCCTGGAAACTTCAGATGGGGAGGGTGCGGGGACGATGTGAAATTCGGAGTGGCTTTCAGTCGCCAGTTTACCGATCAGACAGAGTCGAGGAGAAAGAAGAGATCGAAGGATGTCCTGATGAATGTGCACAATGCACACGTTGGAAGGAAGGTTGCAGGATTTTTATCTTTTAGTTTTGCTACACAAGATATGCATCATAGTACAAATTTTTACCGTAAAGTAATGGTAAAATAATGAAAAAAATGCAGATGTTGGCGGATAGCATAGCTCCGATCTGCAAATGCCACGGAGTTTCAGGATCGTGCTCGGTAAAAACTTGTTTCAAGTCACTTCCGGCATTGAAAGTGGTAGCAGTCATGTTGCAGAACCGATATTCGGCGGCTGTGGAGATGGGCGACAATGCAGCCGGCATTTCGGCACTTCAGACCACAGGCAGTAAGAAATCGAGTCGATCACTGAGCAAACGTGTAGCGAGTACCGACCGACTCGTGTTTTCATCGATTTCTCCTGATTATTGCTTACCGGATCCTTCTCTGGGCTCGGTCGGAACTCAAGGAAGGTAGGGCCTCAATTCTTTTCAGTTTTCAAACTTCAATTTTCAATCTTTTTGTGTTTTGTGTAGTAATTTGAACAAAAAAAATTAAAACATAAAAACTTGTTCAATTTTTGAAAAGTAACGTTTTTAGTGACAAATAAATCTTAAAAATTTATTATACGCTGAGAAAAAAAAACATAACGGCTGTGGAAGACATTGAGCGCAACATTCATAAACCTCCTCAACAACATTGCAACTCCTCAATAAATCCCACACATGCAGGGAGTGCGACAAAGATAGCACGGGTTCGTCGGGCTGTCGATCAATGTGTTGTGGGCGTGGCTACGTCAGCGAGATCGTCGTGCAGACGTTCAAATGCAACTGCAAGTACTACTGGTGCTGCGAGGTCAAGTGTAAAGTTTGCCGGAAGTTAGTTGAGGTGCATAAATGTCGCTGACGAGGTCCTCAAGTTCTGCCGTTTTTTATGTGTAGTCTGTGCGTGTATGTGTGTAGTGTGTGTACGTGCGGTATGTGTACGTGCGTTTGTGTGCACGCACGTTTGTGTGATATTATATGAGTTTGTGTCTGTTTGGATGTGTGGACGTGCATGTGTCTTTGGACGTATATACAATTTTTTTTCAGTGCACGTACATGTGTGTGCGTGTATCTTCTCGTGTGTGGAAGTGTGGCAACTTTGAAGGAATGAATGTTTGCGCTTGCTAGTTCGTGCATATATCTATATGGGTAAATGAATGAGATACTATGAGATGAACAGACTAGTTATTTATTGACTTACTTTCAATTTTTGAACAATTAAACGTGCAATGTTGTAAATTTATACTTTAGCATCGAGTGAGAAAGAGAAAGAGAGAGATAACAAAACTAATTTATTACCGATTACAAATAACCCACAATCCAAACATATATATTTATTTACACACGCATACATCCATAAAACACATAAATATTCTTATCTTCATTTGTCACACACTTACACACAACGCATACAAACACATATACGCACGCACAATCAAAAATCAGTTTAGATTGATTCTTATTCTAGATGTTTTTCTGTTTCGTTTCGTATTAGTATTATAATTTTTGATCATAATAAAGAAAATTTTTGTCAAATAATTGTTCCCTAAATTAGTTGTGGCTCGTAAATAAATAACAAATGCTATTAATTTAGAGTTATTGATAGTTTGAAAAAGTTCGGCATAACAGGCAAAAACAAATTAACATCCTAAAAACAAAGCTTTAAAAACTTAAAATAAAAATGATACTACCTTTGTTATCATAATTGTATCATGGTAGTGATATGATCATTGTTATCATAATTGAAAGTCATGCCATTTCGCATCTTTTCTACTCATGACATCATCGTCGTCGTCGCTCCATTGTCATAACCAGGCAATCATTTGGCCATCACTAACGTCACACCGAGTCACTCATATTATCATCACATTACGTCATCACATAGTCCTCACGTCGTCATCATCACGTCATCTTGACGTCATTCTGGCTTCATCATCACGTCATCTGAATTAACCAGAAATCTGTTCTGAAACGGCTTTATACAAATTTGGGTTACTATGTTTCCTCATCCAGTTGCTGCTTATGATGAGTTTATAATCATCATCATCGTCATCCCATCATTTTCATCATCATCTCATCCCACAAACTCCATTACGTCATGGTTACGTCATCACCATGCCCTAAAATCATCGCACATCACCATCATATCACCATCATCAGAATTTCCACACCACCCTACCACCACACAACCACCACATCAGGCACTGGAATCAGGGTGCCTTTTAATGGTGTCGGCGTCCTCCATGATGACTCTACTCTTTGTGAAGTGGGTCAGGGTGCTCTGAGCCACCTCCTTGCCCATCTCTCGGAGCAAATCCTATTGGGGTGTCATTATTATTATTATTTATTATTATTATTTTTACTTCCCATATAACTATGTTTATTTATTATTCATATTTATTATTATAAGCCCAATTTTATTATTATCATTTAATTGTACTCTGTAAGTAGTCTACAATAGTCGATATAGTACAGTAACACGTGTGTACACGTATGGTATGGTGGTATATGTATTTTTACATGTGTATATATTTGTGTATTGGTGTGGTAGTTTGTTGTAGTTGTATATACTGATCAGTAACAAACAAAACTGTGGTAGTTGTTGTTGCAGTAGCGAGCAGACATTTCACGAGTGGAATTATTTTCTAAGAAAATTTTTATTTCAAGAAACAAACTTGTCAGAACTGCACCAACCAAACAAACAAACAACAAAAGCAAAACATGAACAAACATACAAAAACAAGCGTGCTAACGTGAAATGGTACATATATGCATTCGTTTATGAATAAGCAGATAAAATACATATAAACGTACATTTAAACACAAAAAAGAACAATGTTAAAAGCTCAAAAAACAAAATACATAGAAAACATAACCACATAAAAAATTTACAGTCACAAGGTGAAAATAATTGTTTTTTTCAACAGTAAAGGCAAATTTTTAAGAGCAAATAAAATGCAATGAAATCTAATAAGAGAGCAAAACAAACAACCAACCAAAAACTCCTGCGCCGGTCTTTGAGCGGTCGGTAAAACATACACAACATCTATCGGGAAATACCCTTTCAAGCCGGTTCTCTCGCAGATACCGTACAAAATATCCGACCTCGATTCGTGCCGGTTCAACGTTCCTTCGACGATCTCGTCCAGAAGTTCAACCGTGTCGCCCTGGATCAGTTGAAACTCGTTCGCCTCTCTGTTCTTGCGGAAATCTGAAATTGTTTGTTAATCTCTAAATTGTTCGTAAATCGAAGGCTACATATTCATTGCGAGTTAGTTAACATAAAAAATTATAAATAAAAAAAAATAGAATTATAAATTAATAAAAAATTTGCAAATAAAAATGAAGTTTCAACGGATGCATGTAGTGTTGAAATATCAAACAAACATACGCAAGCAAAATAACTAAACAGAAATTTAAAAAAACTGTTCCCACCTTTAAAGACAAACGGTTTGACAGCAATAGCCCAACGAGACCTCCTCCTGAGACCACTGAGGAAGGCGATGATAATCTTGGAGGCAACTTCGGAGTTGGGACTGACCAGGCTGTACTCCACACCGTCAATGGCTACCATGGTCAAGGTGGAACATGTGATGTCCTGGGCACTGAGATACGATTAAGCTACATTTAACAAGGACGTCAAAACCTAAAACCACACCAGCCTAAACAACAACGGAAAGAACTACAGCCAGCTAGCTACCTCACAACAAACGCAACAACAACAACAACACAAATAACCCTCACTTGTTAGTGAATGAAGTCATGAGGTCAGAAAATTTGAAATAAGCAAGAGGTAGCATAGTGCCACTGCTATGAATGGTCACTCCACAGCCATTCAACGCGATAACCACTTCTTGCGGCTGTAACTGCGGAAAACCCCCGTAGTTGACCGCTTCGAAGAGAGCTGAAAAGTTCATGCTGAGAAATTGTGAGGCTGATGTGATGATGCTATTCATGACCTAAGTGGAGGAGATGTAATTATAATGAGGAAAGCGATGGAGGTAGTTCCAGATGACGTAAATGATAATAATGATTAGGAAGAAAATGATGATGACGGCGGCAATGAAAATGATCACGAGATCAATTGATGAAATCTGGCAAAGTGAATGAGGATGAACGCGCGTTGAATTATGACGTAGCGATAACAAACAAACCCAATCGATACATAATACAAAAATATAATTATGATAAACATCGACAACAAATGTTTCCACGTTTTAAATTATGAATGATATTTTCATCATTGTCTACATCCTCACAATCATCATCTTGATCACTATCTTTCATCACCATTAACACTGAATCCAGAATCATCATCATCAATTTTATTATCACTCACTTCATTCTTCTCATTATCATCGGTGTCCAGGGCTAAACGGCGAGTAACTTTATAGACGGCCTCGACCATGCTCTGCAGTGATTTGCTGTCGGATACCATGACTGTCGGTACGTGGTTCGGTATGTTCTGTCGGATCAACTCGACCCGTAGCCTACCGTATTCGACGAATAGTATTTGCGCGATGAATGTTTCTAAAATGCCCTGAATATGAATACATAATGAAATGTCAAATTTAATTTGATCAAATTTAACATCGTCTTTGTGATTTTTATTTTTAGTCTCATCGTCATCGTCATCACATCGTCGTCATCGTCGTCATCATCGTCGTCGTCGTCGTCGTCTTTATCATCCTGACTACCAACATGCGGTACGTTGTATTCTCCATTCAGAAAGCCATCGTGAATCTGCTTATAGATCAACTTGGATGACACGAGGTCTAACTTAGGATCGAACCAGGGCGTGAAGAGTTCCTTGCGAAAGAACAACATCCACGGAGCTTCAGATTCGTCCACGATACCTCTGTCTCGGGCCATGTGCTCGCATTCCGTCAGGGCGTCCATGATGTGGTCTGAACCGCAGCCCAGAGAGGACACCTAGGGAGAATATTTTTCTGTTTTTAATTTATTTTTAATAATATTTTAAATGTTGAACTCGCCGGACTAACTACAAAGAATAATTTATTAAAAATAAATTTTGTTGAAATAAGAAAAATAAAAAAGAATGAGTCGGTCTCAAAAAAACGTACCCTCTCATAGATAGATATGAAGAGGGAGAAGCCGAAACTATCTTCCAGGTTGATCTGTCGTGCGATTTCAGTGCAGACTTCGAGAGATGTGCACGACGAGTCGACTGCCACCTTGATCATCCTGCCATCTATCAACGAAACTTGGAAAATTATCGGAGTCTGCATCAGTTCCGACTGAAAAAAACATTTCATGGCCTAAGTTTTTAATCAGCAAATTTTAAATGGCGGTATGCCAAATTGAAATCAACATGAAAACACAAAAAATAGTTTTATAATGCAAAACCGCAAAACCGACTTTGAGTTCTAGGGAGTTGGACGGGTGATACCGAAAACCGTTTTCGTTGGTTCGAAGGATGTTTTGGAAGATTCGATCAATGACTATCGGAGATGTATCCGACATTCGGTGAAGAAAGGAGATGTAATATCCGATCAGCTGTTTGAGTTATAAAAAGATATAAAATATTTTCGTTTCGCTTCTCAATCGCTCTAATCATTATCATTTCTTTTCGGATCAATTGTCATCACTTCAATCATCGCTGTCCTCATCATCGGATTTTTTTTCATCATCGCTGTTATCGTTTTTTGCCGGTCATCACCGTTAAAATTTTCAGGTCGTCATTATAACAATCACTAAAAAGATTTCATTACCATGTGCATTCTTTTCTTCGTCTTTATCACATCGCCAAATACCTACCATCATCCTCATCATCAACATCTTCATTATCCCATCATCACCACATCATCCTCATCATCACTGCACCATCATCACCACATCATTCTCATCATCACTGCACCATCACCCTCAGCAGCAGCAGCCGCCGCACTTACTTGTGAGGAAGGCAGGAAACAGGAGATGCAAAGGGAATGGAGTATCCAGGCTCGAGCCATCGCCTTCATCGACGGATTATCACTCACCTGACAACATAACTGGCAGAATATCTCATCCCTGATAGATGTGGATGGATGGATGGATGAATGGATGGATGAATGGATGGATGAATGGAGGGATGAAAGATAGATAGATAGATCAATGAATGAAATGATAGAAAAGTGTATGATTAACAGTTGATACACGAATAGATAATACATTTACAAAAACGGATAAATGAATAAATGATTGAGTTATAAAAATATTAAACCGAATTGCTCTTTTTAACAGACCAGCAAAAAAACCAAAAAACAAATTTTCCACCTCAACTCTCTCCGGATGATTCCATGAGAGACGACAAACTGCACGACATCTAACTCAGTGACCAGCGATTTCATCACATTCTCATACGTAACACCCGCATCTGTTGAATAACCCTTGTTATGATAATTGCTGCCGCTGCTGTTGTGGTTACTACTCGAGCTACTACTTTTTCTCGAGCTAACGTGTTCGTTGAAGTCGTTAGTCCTTGAAGCGGAACTGAATGACGTGCGTTTACTGTAGGCCTTGCCTATTGTGCGGATTAGTTTTCGGATCGTCATCTTATTCTTAGGCTTCTTTGGTTTTTCTTCCAATGGCTGAATAGAAACATACAAAGATTATTATTAATTTTATGTTGATGTTTAGAAAAAAAAGCGTTGTTTATTTGATATGTTTAAATAAAACAGAACCTTTTCTGATTGGTTGAAAGGAGTTGACGTCATATTAGTCGGAGAGGGGCTTTCGTCAGTGTAGAAACTGTCGAGGACCTGGAAGACTTTCATCATGACAGGCATGTATGGTTTCGTCTTGAAAATTATCAAGTTTTCAAAATTTTCATTTAAGAGTAGTTTCTACGAAGACGGTTATACAAATCTAAGGTCACCGTCCAACACTCTTTCATACATGTCCTTCGTGATATCATTTTAATGAACATTATTTACTTTTAGCACTACCATTATCAATATTTCATCCCAGCCATCTTTATCATCGTAATTTTTATCATCATCATTACCAACCAGCCAACCAACAGCAGCATAAATGCCATCCATATCCTAACCATCATTTTCATAATAATAGTAATAAATCACATCATTAGCATCCTATCATCATCATACTATTATCATCATCATCATTATCCTATCATCATCATCAACATCATCGTCACCATCATTATCATCACTCCCGTCCTTGTCGTCGTCATCACCATCCTATGACGTACGTTATAAGCTGTACCGGTCCTGATGGAGTTGTCTCCGCCAATTGGAAAATCTCCATCCATGAAGAGTTTTATGGCAGCGAACAAATAAATGGACGCCTGTTGTGTGGTTTTGAATAGTTCTTCTTTTTTTTTCTTGTTTTTTTATTTCCAGTTATATATTTGGTAAATAAGAAAATGTCATATTTGTATGCATGCTGTATGTATTCACATATTCATGTGGAATGTTACTTTCTGAGCCTTCGTTTTCATGTTACCAAACGCGTTCTAAGAGTTTAAAACTAGTGTAGGCATTGATTGAATGACATGCCTAACTTAATATTGATGCTTTAAAATTATAGATTATGATAAATTTTACTATACGTTTTACTGAATTGTTAATTCGTTTTTTATTATTAAATAAATCGTGTTAGAGGGATTTATTCTACGGATTACTGAGTTATTTTTTTTCTCATTAGGTCTTTATCATTTTAACATAAATGGCTTCATTGTCATCAACAACTCGAACAGCTTGTTTTAGATTTGTAGACTGCGGATATATTGTTGTATTGAGTTATCAAACAATTTTGGGCATTGTATTGTCTTTAATCATGAAAATATATAAAAATGTCACGCACACACATACACACACAAATGGATGCACACACACACAAACACGCACAAATGCATACACATACACGCGTGACCTGAGTTTCTGCCGGACTTTCCTTGGGCAGCAACGGATTGGATAGTTGACCATTGATAAACTTCACTTCCGGTTTCTTGGCCGTCTGCTGAGTCTGAAAATGATTTAGCGCGTATTTCTCGATCGAATATTGTTTGGCAGTTCTGTCTTTGTCCTCTATCAACTCATGGAGGCGATGTTTATCCAAAGGACTGAGGCCGAGTTTGGCTTTGAAGATGTCAGACAGTTCCTGTTCTTCCTCCTGTCATCGTCGTCGTGGTGATGTTTATGATAAAAGTTTAAGGAATTGTTGACCAGGAATGAAGAAAAATAATTGCTTATATATGTAATAGTAATTATTCTTAATTAACAATAATAATGTTACCGGGAGCAAGCCAAGTTTGTGTCGGAATTCAGCGCTCAAGCAATCCAAATCGTGGTTCAAATCCTTCAAAAATGAATTATTGCCTCGAAATGTTTTTATTAAATTAATCAAAACATTAGACCTAAATATTCAAATCATAGATGTATAGAGGAGAGTTTTTTAAAAACATGGTACAAACATTAAAATGCATGAAAAATAAACAAATCTTAGTAAAAACAAAAAAATAATATAACACAATTAAACAAACGAACAAACGAACGAACGAACGAACGAACATACAAACAAACACAAACACAGTTAAACACCTCTTTAGCATCTTCGGCAAATTGTATGAATCTACTCCCACGATCACCCGCCTTGTTGAGCGTTGGAAAAGCATCCGATGATGCTTTCGCTCGCCTTATATCCGCACTAGCCATTTTATTCGCCTAACTTGGGTCAGTAATTTATGTAGTAAACATTTTAATCTAGTAAAACAGCAAAGTAATAATAGTTCATTAACTATTATTATCAACTAGTTAATTAGTATAAAATCCTAGCATAGTAACATTTATATTAGATAAATTAGATATACAAATTTTAAGTAAAAAACAACTGAATAATTACAGTAGTACTATTAGTACTATTTTTGCACTTGACAAAACCAATGGCCACTTGACTACTTTACAAAGATATATTAATATACTCAGTGGAATGCTTACAAACATCAGCGCAAAGAGTATTTATACCGCTTAGTGTTAATGGTATAAGTAGTACATAATTAACTATGAATAGTTAGTAATTAATTATATATAATTATTTTATAATATATATATATATATATATATGTGTGTGTGTGTTCGTGCGTGTTCATATGTCTACAATGCAAACAGTATCATAGTAATCAAATGCAAACAAATTAATTAAAATTAAACAACTGCTCAATTTTCTAATGGATTTGTCCAGATGATTAAACAACTTGAATGATAGAAATATATATGTAAGTCTATACCGCTAAACAATATGTTCAAAAACATAATAAAAATCTTTATCTCTCTCTCTTTCTTTATCTCTCTTTCTCTCTCTCTCTCTTTCTCTCGATATTTAAATATAGACATTTATACATACTTACATATCGAGTCATTATATAGAGTACTAATCTATGTTAGTGGCTCGCCTATTAATCCTTTTCTACTGGTTATGAAATTCCATTGATAGCTAGAAGAGGAGGACTTGAAGACTTTACGCTCGTACAAATGTATTACATACAATACAGTATAATATACACACATAGAATATACACACATACAATATACAAATATACAATATACATACATACAATTTTGTAATACTTACATACAAAACGATCCAAATACATACAGTACAATGCACTCATACGAAGCAATTGAATGCGTTAATGATTAAATACTAAATACACATATATACACACACACATGATAAAAATTTTAAATATACATAAGCACATAAACGCACGCATACTTATGAACACACACACACACACACACGTACGCATGGACATACAATCTTAGGCTTTTATATGATAAACTTATTCAGAAATGATGACATACAGAACAAATGTTCTTTTTTAAACACGATCTGCAATTTTTAAATTGTTAACATTAAATAATGTACCACATTCGTTTTCCATGAAGCTTTAAAAATGACATTATTATTATTATTGTTATTGCTGAATAATTATTTTCATCGTTGGGCTGCAAGATGGTGTAATGAGTAAGGTAACAAGTCCCGATGTTACAGTGGAAATAGATCAAATGGG